GACAGATGACAGAAGGAGATATATGATAGAGAATCTTAAGCTGACTCCCTGCTGAGTACAGACCTGGGGCTGGATCCCACGACCCTGTGATTATGACCTGAGGTGAAATCGAGAGTCAGACACAACCCACTGAGTGACCTAGGCACCCCTGCTTTTTGTTTCACTTTATAAGTGAAGAAGGAATGATTTAAAATGACTAGATTCAGGGGCACCTGGGTGGGTCAGTTGGTTAAGCATCTGCCTTCAGCTCAGGTCATGATCCCGGGAGTCCTGGGTTCATCTCTACTCCAGCTCCGCATCAGGCTCTCTACTCTGTGGGGAACCTGCTTCTCCCTCCACCTGCCACTCTTCCTCTTTGGACATGTGCCTGCATGCTCTCTCTTGCTCTATCAGATAAATAAAACCATTTATTTATTTAAATAAAACCATTTATTTATTTATTTATTTATTTATTTATTTATTTATTTATTTATTATTCATTCATTCATTCATTCATTCATCGACTAGATCCAACATTGAGCATTGCCTCTTGGTGGAAGAAAACCCCATCTTTGTGAGTAGTTTTTGGGGAAAAAAGTTCAACCTGTATTTAATCATGCCAATAGATCCAACTGTCAGTTTCAGGATATCCAGGAGACAGAGGCATTATAGTAAATGCTATGGGTATGTGGTCAACAATATCTAGGTTGTAGAAACTACAAGAGGTGAGCTGGTTCTTCAATAAATAAATTGCAGGAGAGGGGAAAAAAGATGAAGACCTATAAATTAAAAGAGACTTAAGAAACATCAAATAATCATAATATATGATTTGGATTGTGAATTAGGATTGTTTGAATTAAACTAACTTAAGAAGTGTGGTTTTTGAGAGAATTTGAATTCAATATTGATATTAAGGGACTACCAATTTTTAGGCATTTAATGTTATTTTTGGTTTTGTTATATAATCTTTCAGGTCTTTATCTTTTAGAGCTACATACCAAAACATTTATGAATATTAGGGATTAGCTTCAAAATAATATGAAGGAGAGGGAGCATAGATAAAACAAGAACAATTTTGGATTGAATATTTTTGAAGCTGGGTGATGGATACATCTCTACTTTTGTATTTAAGTAGAATTTATATCATTTTTAAAATAGAAAAGAATCATGACAGTCTTGATTCAAAGATTCATACTTGTAATATGATGAAAGTTTGCGCCTTTACTTGGTTATAGTATGATTTCTCAAATTTGCTGTCCGTCCCAAGTTTTCCTCTTGATATGTGGCACTGTGTTACTGCGTGCTGGCCTTTATTTTCTGAAATTTACATTTTTACCTGGCAGTTATTTAGAAGAAATGAAAATGCCCCTAAATTGAGTAAGAATTGAATTCCAACTTGTTAGGTAAGTCTGACTGAATACACCTTAACAGCAAAATAGTAGAGAAGATACGGGAAAACATCCAGGTTTTGTTTTTTGTTTTTTTCTCTTTGTGAGAAGTTAAGTTAAAGGTTTGGTATGGAAAGAGGTTAAACATTAGTAGAATGATAGTTTAGGGAGATCCATATATTGTAGTACTGCATATTTAGTAATTCCTATCTTTGATAAAAATAGTTGAAAGGTGGCTATATGCCATGGATCACTTGAAAGACCACAGAAAACGATGGTGTTTCTTTGTGAGCATCTTAGTAGATATATTAAATATAGCATTTCATCATATTAATGAAGATTTCTTTTTCATAACTGGGAAACTGCAAGAAGGGTGCTAAATTTTCATTTTTCAAGTTTGTGAAGTATTTAATTTAGGTTGGTATTTATTGTGGTATGTCCCATCTTTTCAACATAGTTTTTTTTTTTTTTTATTTTTTTATCCTAAACTATAGATGCTAAAATGAATGCTCATGCTCAGAGATAAGAATTTAGGTCAGAATTGAAGACTATTTGAAAAACTTGTTTTCAGTGAGATGTTGGATATAAGTAGGTGAAGTATGCTGTTAGCACCATTTTGAATCTTTTAATTCACATTGTTTGTCTTGCCACAGCATATACCTGGGGAGTTCTTTTTCTCTCTCACTTGATAAAAAGTAGTTAGGCCACAAACATTTTCCTTAGTCATCTTCTCAGATCTACCCTTGCCACTCTGTTTCTTAGAATATCTTTTTAAATAGGATTTAGCATAGTTTAACTTTGTGATCAAGTGGAAGAAACTGATTATTCTTTTTTTTTTTTTTTTAAAGATTTTATTGATTTACTCATTAGAGACACAGAGTGAGAGTCAGAGACATAGGCAGAGGGAGAAGAAGGCTTCCCACAAGAAGCCCGATGCAGGACTTGATTCCAGATCCTGGGATCAGGACCTGAGCCAAAGGCAGATGCTCAATGGCAGAGCCATCCAGGCTTCCTGAAGCTTTGATTGTTCTTATTACAATTCATTGCTTCACAAAATAAAACATTCACTCAGTCTCTTAAAATATTATATAGAAATAGTTGAGGTAAAAGACCAGCCGTTTGGATATGCTATTAAAATATCCACAGGCATGACATTGAAAACCACAATTTGCATTCAGATAAGCTCTACTTAATCTGAAGGAAAGTTCTCCACAGATTGTGCAGCATATATATGGGGAGTTTGCTTGCAGCTGGTCAGAGTTGAAAGAAGGTGCTTGAGAACCATCTGTAGACGTTAACATCCACAGTTCTATTCCTTCTGCTGGGTGTTTAATATTTATGCATTAGTTATCTGTTGGCTATGAGCTCTGAGAAAGTTACGCAGCAAAGAACTGGTATAAAACCAAATAGTTAAAAAAAAAAAAAGTTGTTGGGGCCCCTAGGTGGCTCATTGGTTAAGTGGTTAAGCACCTGCTTTCTGCTCAGGTCATGATCCCGGAGTCCCTGGACAGGACCCTCTGGGGCTCCCTGCTCAACGGGGAGCTTCTCCCTCGCCTTCTGCCCCTTCCCCGACCCCTGCTTGTGTGTGTGTGTGTGTGTGTGTGTGTGTGTGTGTGTGTGTGTATGGGCTCGTTCGCTTTCTCAAAAAAAATCTTAGAAAGTGTGTATTATATGTTGGCAAATTGAATTTAAAATATTACCTTATTCAGTGAAACTAGACTGAAAATACACAAGTTTGTGTTGTGCAGTCTTTGCTCAAGGAATCCCTGTGATATGGATTTGGCTTTTTAATTCAGTTTCTGGCTAGCATGATCTTACATATAGAAGTTAAGTCTGAAACTAAAAAATTTAAGTTGATACTTTATATGTTTTTTTTTCCTTCTTCATACCTTCTCCCCTTTGTGATTTTGGTCTGGGAAGACAGAAATAATAATAATAATTATTTTTTTAAAATTATATTTTGAGATGAGTTTTTTTATTTTATTTTATTTTTGTATTTTTTTAACTTTTATTTATGATAGTCAGAGAGAGAGAGAGAGAGAGAGAGAGAGAGGCAGAGACATAGGCAGAGGGAGAAGCAGGCTCCATGAACCGGGAGCCCGACGTGGGATTCGATCCCGGGTCTCCAGGATCGCGCCCTGGGCCAAAGGCAGGCGCCAAACCGCTGCGCCACCCAGGGATCCCAGACAGAAATAATTAGAATATTAGAAACCAGTTAAAATCAAGTTAGACAATTTACCTATTGAAACTGGGCACTTGGCTATAGCTAACTCACCCTGGGCATTGACCAGATAGTTTAAATTTTCAAGGGAACAACGCCATCTGTTGGGCATCTTCAGAACAAATCCTGTCAAGTTGGATCCAGCTACTTAGACTCTTTAGTTTTAGGTTGGTGGTTTTGTTTTTGGCTTAGGAGTTTGGTAAAAAAAAAAAAAAAGTTCTGAGATACTAAGGGCACTGTGAGAAACTTTGCATTAAAGGCTTTGTTTGAACATTGAGCAGGATGCCTGGGTGGCTCATTGGTTGAGCTTCTGCCTTTAGTGCAGAGCGTGATCCCGGGATCTGGGATTGGTCCTGCATTGGGCTCCATTCAGGGAGCCTGCTTCTCCCCCTGCCTATGTCTCTGCCTCTGCCTCTCCCTTTCCCTCTCTCTCTCTCTCTCACGAATAAATAAATAATTATATGAACAATGAGCAGTAATGCTTCTACAATTCCAAGACAAAGAAATTGACCTTTAGGAACACCTGAGTGGCTCAGTGGTTGAATGTCTGCCTTTGGCTCAGGGCGTGTTACCAGTCCCGGGATCGAGTCCCACATTGGGCTCCTTGCTTCTCCCTCTGCCTGTGTCTCTGCCTCTTTGTGTGTCTCTGATGAATAAATAAAAAAAATAAAAAAACAAGAAAGAAATTGACCTTTAGTCTACTAGTACTGGAGGGACAGAATAGCAAGCAATATTTCTTTGTATTGCAAAGCTGTGGGCTTTATATTTATAAGAAGCAAATAGTTTAGGCAAGTGCTTTCAAATTAAAGGCTGACTCCAAAATCATGGTGAGGTAAAAGGATACAATTTTAGAGGGGAAAAGAACTACCACCCACTTTCTGAATTCAGGGCAATCCAGAATTTGATTGCAGCATTACCTTTTCAAAAGAGCAGCTAACAAGCTTAAGTTTATAAACTGTGACTAGACTGTGAGCTAGCTAGCTAGCTAGCTCGCTCGCTTCCTTCCTTCCTAAAGATTTTCTTTCTAAGTCATCTCTGTACCCAGAACGGGGCTCAAACTTACAACCCCTGAGATCAGGAATCCCAAAACATACATTTTAATTGAAGACCCTGCTCTTGCATGATCTGCCTCACCCTAATCACAGCCCTAGGTGTTACAGATTGAACTTTTATACTCCTACTAATTATGGAATAATTTGCTGTGGGCTTTTTCATAATAGTTTTTTTTTTTTTCAAGAATAAAAATAATTTTGGATCCTTCTAAATGTTGGGAAGGGGAGGTTAGGGGAAATGGTAGAGGGAGTACAAGGGGTGGGTTAACTGATAAATTCAAGAATATGATTCCATGTTTTGTATAAAATATTTTTCTTATTCTGAGGTCAGTATCTTAATTTTGTCTTTTTTCCTTATAGCATGGCGGACACCGACCTCTTTATGGAATGTGAGGAGGAGGAGCTGGAGCCATGGCAGAAAATCAGTGATGTCATTGAGGATTCTGTTGTTGAAGATTATAATTCAGTGGATAAAACTACTACAGGTAACAAAAACTCTTGATCTTAGATTATTACTTAAATTTGGTTCAATTGAATGGTGTTTTTGTTAAAGTGTGAGGTGTGGGAAGGATTTTAAGAATCCAGGGATGCCTCATTGTGGCACTGGTGCTTTTTTTTTTCCAGTGCTCTAGTCTGTAAAAATGCCTACATGAAGCTAGAAACACTATAGTTAATTCATTTAAAACCTTGAGAGTTGAATTAACCAATGCTTATCAAATATTTAGCAATCCTCTTACCAAATAAGGAATGAATGAAAATGCAAAGTAGTGGTGTGTATCAGTGTTCATTTATGTACCCAGTCAAAAACAGGATCCCATAGTAATTTTTTTCTTCTTTGTTTGTTTTACTTGACCTTGATTTCCTTTGTTAGTGAGCAGAATTTGCTTTGTGTCTGCCTTCATGGAAAGTTTACAAACTTAGGCTTGTTAGCTGTTCTTTCAAAAAGGTGATGTTGCAAGGTCAAATTCTAGATTGTCCTGAATTCAGAAAGTTGGGTGTTAGTTCTTTCCCCCCCTAAATTGTATCCGTTGCTCTCATTTTTATCTTCCCTGCCTTGAGACCTGAAGATGGCATTGGTTTAGGCTGAAACAGGACACAGTTTCAGGATCTTGTGGACATCTTACTATGTATGCATGGTTATGAATACCAATAGTGGTGATAATAAACCTCTGAGTCCTAGAGGTTTGCTTGTGTTTTATAAGCAAAACCTTAAAATACTGGTTCAGTGAGCTTGTGATCTAAATTAACCAGGCAATGTGAGATGAAGGAGTTATTGTGTCTAATTGGTGGAGTGAGGGACAAGTAGGAGGAGAAATCAGATGCACAGTTGTATTTGCAAAGAAAGCAGGAAACTTTTTGGTTATAGAGACCCCCACAACAAGATGAAAAGGGATTAGAACAGTATCCTTTAGTGTCATCTGTCCCTGTCTCCGAGTGACTGTGCCTCCCCTTCCCCACAGTTTCTGTGAGCCAGCAGCCAGTCTCGGCTCCAGTGCCCATCGCTGCCCATGCTTCTGTTGCTGGGCACCTCTCTACATCCACCACCGTTAGTAGCAGCGGGGCACAGAACAGCGACAGTACAAAGAAGACTCTTGTCACACTAATTGCCAACAACAATGGTAAGTGGGATTATTGGGGAAACTCTTCCTGGGCCAGAGGGTGAGAGAATTAAAGAGGTCTTAGGAACAGGTGTACTGGTTTAGTTTTAGGTGCTGATGTGGTTCTACTAGTTGGAGTGAATTTAGTAATGATTCTGTGATACAGAAGTGGTTCAGGAGCGGTGCTGTTCCTTCTGAGTTAGTGCTGAATTGATTCTGGTGTTTCAAGTCCCAGGGTAGCAGTAGGAGAGAAAATGTAAACCCAAAATTCCTAACTATTAAAGAGATCTGGGGTTTTGTTTGTTTGATTATTATTATTTTTTAAGTAGAAGAGCCCTATTAGTTTGCTAAGAATTCTCCCAGGGCAGCTTTGTTCTGAATTTTTTCTGGCAGATTCATTTGGTTATTGGTTCCTAGGTATGGAAAATAGGATAGGGTTGTTGTCTATTTGAAGGAAATGGTGAAAGAGTAGTGTTTTAGTGTATTTATTGACCAGAGAAGCTATGCAGTATTGGTTTCTATTTATTGGCAAGTTAGGTCTGAGATTCATCACTGGAATAAGCACTTTGTAGAATCATTGCATTGCTGCAAAGGACTTTTAATTATTTTTAAAAAATAAAATAGCTTTATTAATGAGAATAATGTGTATTATAGAAAAAGTAAACTAATAAAAAGGAAGGAAAAATTTTAATTGTAATCTTGCTACCTGGAGATAACTATTGGTAACTTTTATTTTGTATATATATGTACTATGATATACTTCTGCATGCTATAAATAATGATATACTTTTTTACAAAAATGGATCATACAGACTCTATACTACTCTATATACTCTGTCTCCTTTTTCCCCTTAATATGTAATGAATATGTTCTCAGTTTAACAAATGTATGTCTGTAACATTGTTGATGAATAACTGGACAGTTGACCCTTGAACAGCATGAGAGTCAGGGGTGCCAACTAGCTGCACATTTGAAAATCTACATATGACTTGACTCCCCAGAAACTTAACTACAGATAGACTTCTGTTGATAACAGTTGATTAGCGCATATTTTAGATGTAATGTGTATTATACTGTATTCTTATAATAAAGTCAGCTATAGAAAAATATTATTTAGAAAATCATGAAAACTGAGTAACACAGTACTGTACTATGTTTATTGAAAAAAGGTCCATGTACAGGTGGACCTGTGCAGTTAAAACCTGAGTTGTTCAGGGTCAACTGTATTTCCTGTTGTTTGGTTAACTGTTATTAACAATAGGTATAAAGCCTGCTTTATATCTATGCTGCTACTTTAAAGAGCTGTTGTGAGCATTTCTGTATCTTTTGTCACATACTTAGTTCTAAGAATATATTTATAAATTTTAAATTGTTGGATCAAAGGTCATCACAGTTTTTAGGATTTTGATATTTTTCCTGGGTTGACAATCTAGAAATATTATATCAGTTTATATTTCTATTAGAAGTGCATATGGTGGTCTTATTTTTGGCTGTAACTGTTTACTCCTCTATTGTTAGATATTTCTTATAGTCCCTATTTTTTGTGATTACAGTGTTTGGTGAACATGCTCAGGCATTACATCTGTGCCCACTGTGTAAGCATATCTTCAATAGAAAGTGAGATTGTTTAAAGTCAGACATTTAAAATTGGATAGACAGTGTCAAATTGTCTTAATAGATTGTTCTGAGTAAATGCCCACCAATAGCTGTTTCCTCATATTGCTACTGACCTCACGTACTATTGAACTTAAATCTAATTTCTGTAGGTATTATTTCAGTTTTTGGTTACTGATAATGATTTTTATCACATGAAACATCCTTAGTTTTTTTTTTAACTTATAAATAGGGGCCCATATATATATAAAGATGAGGAACCACTATCCAGAGGATTCTCTCATTTTACAGATGTGAAAACCAAGTCTTAGAGTCTAAATAATGTGCTTAAGGTCAAATAGTTGGTGTGACTAAACTGGATTTGTCTAGATTTCAAAGTTTATATCCTTTGTGCTGTATTATAATGCTTTCTTGTATTTTTTTTTTTTTAAGATTGTATTTATTTGAGAGAGATAGAGAACATGAGCAAGGGGAGGGGCAAAGGAAGAGGAGAGAGGGACAAGTAGACTCCCTGCTAAAGTGAGGAGCCTGATGCCTGATATGGGGAATGATCCAAGGACCCAGAGACCATGACCTGAGCTGAAGTCAGGCACTTCACTGACTGAGCCACCCAGGAACCCCTGTGTATTTCTTTTAAAAGAATCTGTCAGAGTGCTGTTAGCAACCATATAGCTAAAATTTTCTTTGATCCTAGGATATTCCAAGACATGGTGACATGACCTAGTCTTCTTGGCTCCTTGAATGGACCCTTGATTTCTGAGCCCACCTAGAGCTGTATACAAAGTTTTAAAAAATACACATACATAAATTGATTTTACTTATGTCAGATACTTCTAGTATTCAAAATGTTAACCCATGCTAATGGAAAAAAAATTGAGTATAGACTGATAATGGCAGTTACATGTGTTATGTGTATCCTTCCAAAAAATTTTTATTCATAGGTAAGCATGCATTAATAGATCCAATTTGTCAAGCCACCTCCCTTTTTGCACAAAACAGACAATTCTATAACTTTTTTTATCTTATATTCTTGAAATACCAGTATAGGTTTAAGGATGACACTTCAGAATAGAGTGAATTTAAAATGTTTCATCTTGGGACACCTGGGTGGCTCAGCAGCTGAGTGTCTGCCTTTGGCTCAGATCGTGATCCCGGACTTCCAGGATCAAGTCCCACATCGGGCTCCCTGCATGGAGCCTGCTTCTTCCTCTGCCTGTGTCTCTGCCTCTTGCTCTCAGTGTCTCTCATGAATAAATAAATAAATCTTTAAAAAAAATAAAAATAAAAAAATAAAAAATAAATAAAATGTTTCCTCTTCAGGGCATATGGGTGGTACAGTCAGTTAAGTGGCCAACTCTTGATTTCAGTTCACATCATGATCTCAGTCCTGGGTTTGAGCATCAGACTCCGTGTTCAGCAGGGAGTCTGCTTCAGGATTCTCTCCCTCTCTAAAATAAATAAATTAATTATAAAAAAAAATAACAAAAAGACCATCTAGTTTCTTAAATAGGCAAAAGATCTACAGAGACATTTCTCCAAAGAGAATATATAAATGGCCTGTAAGCACATGAAAAGATTCTAAACATCATTAATCATTAAGGAAATGAACATCGTAACCACAATGAGGTACTACTTCATACCCACTAGGATGGCTGTAGTCAAAAAGATGGACAAATAATAAGTGCTGATGAGAATGTGGAGAAATTGGGACTCTCATATATTGCTGGTGAGAATGTAAAAATGGTGTGGCTACTTTAGAAAATAGTTTGGCAGTTTCTCAAAACATAGTTATCATGATGCAGCAGTTCTCCTAGCTATGTACCCAAAACATGGAAACTGTTCACACAAAATGTCCTGCTCAAATGTTCATAGCATTATTCATTATAGCCCCAAAATGGAAATCTATAACCTAAGCTATTGAATGGATAAACAAAAGGTGATACTGCATGATGGAATATTATTAGTCCATAAAAAGGAAGGAAATACTGATAATATGATATAATGTTAATAACCTTGAAAACATAGTGTTGGGCAGCCTGGGTGGCTCAGCGGTTTAGCGCCGCCTTCAGCCCAGGGCATGATCCTGGAGACCCAGGATCAAGTCCCACGTCGGGCTCCCTGCATGGAGCCTGTTTCTCCCTCTGCCTCTCTCTCTCATTCTCTCTCTCTCTGTGTCTCTCATGAATAAATAAATAAAAATTAAAAAAAAAAAAGAAAAAAGAAAACATAGTGTTAAAAGTCAGGTACAAAGGCAACATATAGTCTGACTCCACTTATATAAAATGTCCAAAATAGGCAAATCTCTAGTGACAGAAAATAGATTTTTGGTTGCCAGGGCTAGGGGAGAAGAGAATGGGGAATAACTGCTACTTGGTGTAAGATTTCTTCTTGGGATGATGGACATGTTCTCGAATTAAATAGAACCGATAGTTGCACAAACCTTGTGACTATATTAAAAACCTCCAAATTGTATACCTTAGATGAGTAATGTGTATGGTATGCAGATGATACCTCAGCAAAGCTCTTTTTTAAAGAAAGTGTTAGGAATAAAATTTTGGAATGCTTTTACAATTCTTTTTGTTGTTCTTCAGTATCTACTAGCATTTAGAAATTACTTACATAGTTCTGACTGATGATACATTTGCTTTGATAATTATGTAGTAAAACAAACTACTGCTTAATTCTGAGCTAGGAATGAATTTAATGTTATAGACTTCTTACTCGATAAGTTATGTTTTTAACTCCTGTTCAGCTCATTTTGACTCCATTTAGCCCTCTTATCTCTGGGTTTTAAGGCTATGTGAGTAAACCTGGAAGAGTAAAAGAATACATCAAGACCTTCAGATTTGTAAAACAGAACATATTGTGAGAGAAACTGCTGAATCTCTTCCCCTTATTTAATTGGGAACCATTAATGGGGAGCCACGGTTTTTGGCTGTGGTACCTAGTTTATTTGAGTGCACTCTTTGAGTCAGGGACTGGTTGGTTAATTCTTTTATAGGCTTTTAAGCCTAAGGATTTTGATAGCCTCTTTCATCCCCTGGAAAGAGAACTTTGTAAAACCCATGAATTGTCAGAATTTCTTTAAGGAAAGATTTAATAAGAATGTAGAAATCATTTAAAATAATTTATTAGAGGGACGCCTGGATGGCTCAGCGGTTGAGCTCTGCCTACAGCTCAGGGCGTGATCCTGGAGTTCAGGGATTGAGCCCCACATCAGGCTTCCTGAGGGGAGCCTGCTTCTCCCTTTCCCTTTGCCTGGTGTCTCTGCCTCTCTCTGTGTCTCTTATGAATGAGTAAATAAAAATTTTTTAAAATTATTAGAATTATTAGAATTCATTGGGGTTATTAAAAGATTCATAGAATGTGGGTGGGTGGTACAGAAAAAAAACAAAATTGGCCATAGTTAATAATTGTTGAAGCTGGGTGATGGGTATGTGGGGTTTCATTATGGTGTGCTATTTTTATGTGTATTTGAACTTCTCCATAATAGAACATTTAACATAGTAAATTGCCAGTATAATTAGCATAGATTGAACTTGGAATTTTTTATCTGTCAGCTGGTCAGCTGGCCTCATAACTGAGGTCTAGTCCACTGATGGGCACTCAATTTCTATAAAAAAGTGGGACAAACCATTGTTGGCTCATTAATAGCCACCTATATACCGACTCTAGTGGTCTAGCTTTGTAGCTAACTGCAGTGACTCCATCTGTCAAAGTAGGACATACAGTTCATAGGAACCCATCCCATTCTGGCTATTGGAAGTAAAAAGTTGAGGCAGTATCTTACTTGAATCTCTGATTTAAGTATATTGACGCTCAAGTTTTCTGTCTAGTCTTAGAGTATTCTCTGTATATTAGGAAACTTGGTATTTTTTACTTTTTTAGCCAAATGTAAATAGACTTTAAAACATTTATAAAATTTTCTCACAATGAAAAGAACCTAAAATGTTTCAATAATAGCCGATTTATTAATATTTATATATGAATGAGCCATTGTCTTCTGAAGTCATACCATTTTTTACTGGATATTGGTTAGGTTTTGACCAAGTCTTTTCTTTTTTTTTTTTTTTTTTAAAGGAAAGCAATTGAGGTTTTTTTTTTTAAAGACTTTATTTATTTATTCGTGAGAGACAGAGAGAGAGGCAGAGACACAGGCAGAGAGAGAAGCAGACTCCATACGGGGAGCCCGATGTGGGACTCCATCCCCAGTCCCCAGGATCACACCCTGGGCTGCAGGTGGCGCTAAACCGCTGCGCCACCGGGGCTGCCCTTGACCAAGTCTTTTCTTTATCAGTTCTGATATCAAAAAGGAGAAAAGATAGCCTGTGAATCTCCATGTTACCATACCTATAAAAAGCAGCAGTTTAGAGAATCTGTTGGATTTCTGAGCTTTGCCTCACTAGGCAGAGGTACCATTCTTTAGATTCTGTGTACTTGCTGAATTAATGTTTGTCATTGAATATGCCTCTTTTGAAAAGATTAAAGTGGATTAGCTAACAGATTACATTCTGACAAAATAAGTTTTATCTAGTTAAAATGTGGAAAAAGAAATGTTACTTTTTTTTGCTAATTTGGCGTGGAAAGATTATGTCAAACCATATATTAATATTGTCAGAGTCAAAATGGTAGTTCTATAAAAACCTTACTACATTAAGACATCCCTAATTAAGATAATATATGGGGGAGATGTTAGTGAACCTCCCCTATCTACAGTTTTTCTGTTGTCAATTTGGGTGAAGCTTAAATTTTTGGTGAGTTTGGTGATGATAAACCTGAGGTGAGTGTGACAGTCTTGGATATTTTTATATCTGAGACACCATTTCTTATCTGAAACCGTAACGTTTCTTATAAAATGGGGGTTTGTTTTCTCTTAATTTTTTTTTTCTTTCTTCCTTTTACCCTTCAGCCGGCAATTCTTTGGTCCAACAAGGTGGACAGCCACTCATCCTAACCCAGAATCCAACCCCAGGTTTGGGCACAATGGTTACTCAACCAGTGTTGAGGCCTGTCCAGGTCATGCAGAATGCCAATCATGTGACTAGTTCTCCTGTGGCGTCACAACCAATATTCATCACTACACAGGTGAGTAGGACTCTGAATTCTGGGGTTGGGTAGGGAAGGAGAGAAATACTGTGAACTTTTGGAGGCTCCAACTTAGTCATTAGCATCATTAGAAATGGTTCTAAGTCCTGTCTTTTGACCTGGCTTTCTCATTTGCTGTATATAATTTGATACCAACTTTTATAGAAAGCCCAACATAACACAGCTGGGTAATTACCTCTTCCTGTCTTTAAAGGGCTATTAAGTAATTTGAGATCTGGACAGAAATTAGTGGGAAAGCTTAAATTAGGAAGCCTTAACATTTGGCCTTTAACACTTTCTGCCCTTTGCTTGGGCTGTTTTTCTTAAAATGGGATGATTTAGTTGACTCTTGAAATCTGTGTGTGAAATTGGTAAAGTGTGGGGAGAACTTTGGAAGAGGAGGAGGAAGATGACTTATTTGACATGTAATGTGAATGGAAGTTGAAAGCCTAATGCTGAATATGGAACACAAAGGCAAGTGCTTCTTAGCCTGTGGCTTCCTGAGTTATAAAACTCTTCTCCTAAAAATTTGCCAGAGGTTTATGGCCTTTGAAGTGGACTTTGTGAACAATTTCTTAACAATTGTTTTGTGTCGAATCATTCCAGTGAATACTCTTAGTGTGTGTCCCCGCCCCCCCCCTTCTATGCTTTTATCAGTTTGGGGCCAGTTTGTGGATGAGGTATTTTTTAAGCTGAGGTTCTCTTAAGACGGAGTAGGTTTACATTTTTGTTCATATGTTCTAAAGCTTATTCTTCAGTTTTGATATTTTGTCACTCAAAAGTTTGCCGAAATTCTTAGATTTCTCCATCTCAGTCATTTAAAAGCTCTATCTCTAAAAAAAGAACCACTAGGTAAGAGTGTGAGTTTTTTTGGATGTAGTTCTAATTGCAATCTCTGCTAGTGTTAACTGACCTCCATGTTAAAGATCATTTTGCTTTTTAATGCAGGGATTTCCTGTAAGAAATGTCCGGCCTGTACAAAATGCAATGAATCAGGTTGGGATTGTGCTGAACGTACAACAAGGCCAAACAGTTAGACCAATAACACTAGTCCCAGGTAAGGAAAAATGTCTGCCATTCAAAATAAACTGGCATCTAGAAGATTTGTTTTTCATGTCTCAAAATATTCTTGGCCATTTAAAAAGTGTGTTTAAGAAAAATCTAAAAATGTAAAAATCATATTGATTTAAGCCCAATTTATTTCATTTATTTATTTATTTATTTATTTATTATTATTTATTATTTATTTATTTATTTATTTATTTATTTATTTATTTATTTATTTATTTATGATAGTCACAGAGAGAGAGAGAGAGAGAGGCAGAGACACAGGCAGAGGGAGAAGCAGGCTCCATGCACTGGGAGCCTGATGTGGGATTCGATCCCGGGTCTCCAGGATCGCGCCCTGGGCCAAAGGCAGGCGCCAAACCGCTGCGCCACCCAGGGATCCCCTAAGCCCAATTTAAAAAAAAACTGTTTCTAACCTTTAGCCAGGGTGGTGGTTTTATTTATTTTTAACTTTTTACCACCCTTCAAACAGGGTTTATATAGTCATTTTTCTGCTTCTGGTGTTTTAGTCCACTATTAAGTTTGTTATCCTGAAGAAATATTAATGCAAACTCCCAATTCCTTATTTCTTATGTCAGCTCACTTACACTGTGGGATTATAAACTTTATTTTGCTTTATTTATTTATTTATTTTAAAGATTTTATTTATTTATTCATTCATGAGAGAGAGAGAGAGAGGCAGAGGGAGAAGCAGGCTCCGTGCAGGGAGCCTGATGTGGGACTTGATCCCAGGACTCTAGGATCCCGCCCTGGACAAAGGCAGGGGCTAAACCGCTGAGCCACCCGGTGGCTCAAAAATACAAAAAAAAGTATTTTGCTTTAATTTTACAGCATAGATTTTTGGATATAAATTAAAAGACTTACCCTTTGATGATAAATTTGCCAATGATTAGTTAGTTTTTTTTTTTTTTTTTTTAAGAAACTAAATTGAAAATTATTTTTTTAAATCTTGTAATTTTCGGGATCCCTGGGTGGCGCAGTGGTTTGGCGCCTGCCTTTGGCCCAGGGCGCGATCCTGGAGACCCGGGATCAAATCCCACGTTGGGCTCCCGGTGCATGGAGCCTGCTTCTCCCTCTGCCTGTGTCTCTGCCTCTCTCTCTCTCTCTGTGACTATCATAAATAAATAAAGAAAAAAAAGTATTTAAAAAAAAAATAAATCTTGTAATTTTCTCCCCACAGTTCTTTACTTAGTATCTGTAAGTTTACTACAATTCAGGCCAAAAAATATCTTAATTTAGTTATTCTAAGGGTACCTCCATAAACTTATCTTCCTAAGTTGCTGTTGTTCTTAGGGCCCACATAATGTTTTTGACCTTCAGTCTCATGGACTTACCTAGTTCTGATATTTCTATATTTGTCAGTGAAATTTTCTACAACTGAGCCAGGAGATTCACCTCTGGGACATCCTAGTAGAATGGCATAGACAGTCTTGACAGTCTTCTGTTAGAGTTCATCTTAAAAGGATGGAAGACTACTTTGGTATCCTGAATAAAGAAATACTGCTTTTTTTTAGTACCACATCTGCCCTTTGGCCTCCTATTCTGTACTCATTCATGCAGTATTGAGGTCAAGCTACTCCTGATTGTATTCTTGGGATCGAAAAGGCAGTATGGTAAGGTGTTTGGGGAGGAGTTGATAGGAATCTTCTTTCTTCAGTTTCATAGGGCTCATTCCTTAGGATAAGTGCTTTTGTCAATTCGGATATATGTTGTCTTGGATATATATTCTCGTTAACTTCTGATGGCCACCAAACACTTTGGGGAACTAATCTTTTCTTATTGCAGTATTTTCAGTAAAGATAGGTAGAATGTATTAGAGGTGAGCTCACTGACCAAGCTTTGGTACTTTTCTTTGTTTCTCTTCTGAAGCCCCAGGTACCCAGTTCGTTAAGCCGACAGTTGGAGTCCCACAGGTGTTCTCTCAGATGACCCCAGTGAGGCCAGGCTCTACCATGCCTGTGCGGCCCACCACTAACACCTTCACCACCGTCATCCCAGCTACTCTGACTATTCGAAGCACTGTCCCGCAGTCCCAGTCCCAGCAGACCAAGTCCACACCCAGCACCTCCACTACTCCCACTGCCACACAGCCGACCTCACTGGGGCAGCTGGCTGCTCCGCCTCCCAGCCAGTCCAGCCAGACCCCCAACCCCAAGCTAGGTGAGCACTGGGAAGTGGAGATGGCAGTGCTGGGTGGGGCAGTGGGTGGAGGACAGATAATTATCACTCGGCCAACATAGCTCCCTCTTTCCCCTCCCCACCTGCAGTGAGCATTGCCAGCTTTGTCACTGTGAAGCGACCTGGGGTTACAGGTGAAAATAGCAATGAAGTAGCCAAACTGGTGAATACCCTTAATACCATCCCTTCCCTGGGCCAGAGTCCTGGGCCAGTGGTGGTTTCCAACAACAGCTCTACCCATGGCTCCCAGAGAACCAGCGGACCCGAGTCTTCAATGAAAGGTACAGTAATCTAAAAGAGCATCCAGCCATTTAGAAACACTGACAAAGTACTTGTTATATCAGAACCTTATACTTGGAAATAGAGACTTAAAAAATATAGTTGCCACAGTCTGTTCTCACAAGAAACTTTAGTGTAGGAAAGGGGATAGCCACTGTGAAAAGTGTAATAATTCTGTTTCTTGTGCTGTAGAGTTGAGTGAAATGGACCAGTTGATCAGAGATGGGTGGGATACTTAAAAAAAAAAGTTTCATGGAGGAGGTGGATTTTTGCACAAAGTTTTAAAGTTGGATTTGGTAGAAGGGTTTTCAGGTGTAGACAGGATATGAGCATAAGGGTTTACAATGGCCTAGAGCAGAGGTCAGCAAACATTTTCTTTAAAGGACCAGATGGTATTTTAGGCTTTATGCACTAAATATGGTCTCTGCCACAACTACGCAGCTCTGCCATGGTGATGCAAAAGCAGCCACAGACAGTATACAAACAAATGAGCATGATCACTAAAGCTGTTTACGGACTCTTAATTTTATGTAATTTTCATGTGTCAGAATATCTTCTTTTGCTTTCATTTCAACCATTTAAAAATGTGAAAACATATAACAAAGGATATTGGAAAAATAGACATCCACATCCAATGAAGTTGAACCCAAACCATCTGTAAAAATTAACTCAGTGAACCAAAGACCTAAACATAAGAGCTAAAACTATAAAAGAAGAAAACATAGGGGGAAAGCTTCCTGACATTGGATTTGGCAATGATTTCTTACATCTGACACCAAAAGCATGGGCAACAAAAGAAAAATATGATAGTAGATGTAATAATAATAGATAAGTGAGACCACATCAGATTTTATTTATTTTTATTTATTTTTTAAAAAAGATTTTATTTATTTATTCATGAGGGACAGAGAGGCAAAGGGAGAAGCAGGCTCCATGCAGTGAGCCCAGTGTGGGACTGATCCTGGGACTTCGGGATCACACCCTGAGCCGTAGGCAGGTGCCCAACCACTGAGCCACCCAGGCGTCCCTACATCAGATTTTAAACTTATACAGTATCAATCAGACGACTCTAGGAACAGAGTGAAAAAGCAACTCAGCAAATGGGAGAAAATATTTGCAAATATTTTTACATCTAGAATATATGCACAGCTCAACAAAAAAGCAAACAACTCCATTAAAAACTAGGCAAAGGAGTTTTTTTCCAAACCTTTTTCCAAAGAGGTTATGCAAATGGCTGTTAAGCACATGAAAAGATGCTTACCATCTTACCATCACTAATGATTAGAGAAGTGCAAATCAAAACCATGTTGAGGTACCACTTCACACCCATTAGGATGGTTCTTACCCAAAAAACAAAATAGCAAGTGTTGGTGAGGATGTATAGATATTGGAACCCTTGTGTGTTGCTGGTGGAAATGTAAATTGGTATTATAGTCTCTCAAAAAGTGAAATATAAAATTACCATCTGACTCAGGAATTCCACTTCTGGAGTATGGCCCAAAAGAACTGAAAGCAGGTACTCAAGCAGATATTTGTACATCTTCATAGCAGCAGTATTCACCATAGCCAAAAGGTGGAAGCAGTCCAAGTGAGTGTCAACTGATGAGTAAATGAACAAAATATGATTCATATATTAGTAGCTTATTGTTCAAGAAAGGAAATTCTGAGACATGCTGCTACATTCATGAACTTTGAGAACATTCTGCTAGGTATTGAACTAAGCCAGTCACAGGAGGACAAATGGTGTGTTGACACTTATATGCAGTACTTAAAGGAATCAAATTTACAGAAATGGAAAGTAGAATGGGGGTTGCCAGGACTAAGAGGAGGAGGGAATGGGGGAATTGTTTAATGGGTACAGAGTTTCAGTTTTATAAGATAAAAAGAGTTCTGGAGAATGCTTGTACAATAATGCAAATGTACCTAACTGTACATATGAAAATAGTTAAGAGGTAAATTTTATGTACGTGTTCCTGCAATTAAACAAAAAGTTGTATAATGACCAAAAGGTAAAATCCATTCCTAGCTCATGGGCCAAACCGAAGTTGGCATCTGGCTAGATTTTGTCTATGAGCTGTGATTTGCTGACCCCTGTCCTAGAGTTAGAAGAATGGTAAAAAGAGTGGTCCTCATAGTGATCACTCATACTTGCGTATCAACCTTAATATGCCTTTCAGGGAGTGTTTAACTTGTCTTCAAGGGGCCAGTAATCTGTTTCCAGTATCGTCTCATTAGTCTTATCAGTGCTTCTTAACTTCTTTCAGTGACGTCTTCCATCCCAGTGTTTGACCTCCAGGATGGTGGACGGAAAATATGTCCTCGGTGTAATGCTCAGTTCCGTGTTACTGAAGCTTTGAGAGGTCACATGTGTGTAAGTGATAGAAGTTGTGATGGGGATCCAGCTTCAGTGGCTACTACTTGTATATCTCCTGTAGAATTAGGAGGTTGTGAAGGAGGGGCTCTGAAATGACTTAGAAGCTTCTTAAAGGGTTATGCTCTCTTTTGGCCTGTTTTAGAAGAGTTTCATACTTTGGAATGTAGAAAGATACATTTAGAGACTCTCAAGTAGATTGGAACATATGTGACCTTAATTCCTTGGTTGTGGTTGATTTTAAAACTACACAGGACAGGTTTGCTAGATAATCAGAACTCAAGTGAAGGTAACCTCTGTTTATTTTCTTTTTCCTTTTTTTTAAAGATTTTATTTATTTGAGAGAGTAAGATAGGGCACAAGTAGGGTAGGGGCAGAGGGAGAGAGAGACAAGCAGACTCCTCGCTGAGTGGGGAGTCCAACATGGGGCTTGATCCTAGGACCCTGAAATCATGACCTGAGTGGAAGTCCGATGCTTAACTGACTGAGCCACCTAGGTACTCCTCAATTTATTTTCTATTTATTGTGTCATTGTGTGAATCAAGAGTCATTAACCATTTCCCATTTCTAGCCTTTTCATTTTTTATTACTTCAGACGCAAAAGTTGGGATTTCTTCCTGCCAGGGAGTTCAGAGGCAAGTTATGCTAGTTAAGTGGTTGAAGGATCTAAGGCAGGAGGAAGAAATACAAGGTATGGGATTTGGAGTGGCATATGGCTATAAATATATATCCATAGAAAAAGCCAGAATTCTGGAAACACTATAGAAAACCAAAGGGTGAAACCTGGATGAGAATACATAGGACCAAACCATACCTGAGAGATGTTCATGAGGTTGGGGAGTTGGTACATCCCAGCCCCCAGATAACCAGAATGATCTTCCTTTATAGTACTGTTGCCCAGAAATGGTGGAATACCAGAAAAAAGGAAAGTCTCTGGATTCAGAACCCAGTATCCCATCAGCTGCAAAGCCCCCATCCCCTGAGAAAACAGTTCCTGTTGCTTCCACACCGTCTTCTACACCTATTCCTGCTCTGTCACCACCTACCAAAGTACCAGAGCCAAATGAAAATGTGGGTGATGCTGTCCAGACCAAACTCATCATGCTAGTAGATGACTTCTACTATGGACGGGATGGTGGCAAAGTGGCCCAACTCACAAACTTCCCTAAGGTTGCCACATCTTTCCGATGCCCACATTGTACCAAAAGGCTAAAAAACAACATTCGGTAAGTGTTGAAGAGCCTTAGAGGTTACCCTAGACAAGAGAAAACTAAAAATTTTTTATATGTTTTTCTATTTGGGCAGTAGTCCTGTTTATCTAGTCTAGCTAAGGATTATCATTAAATCAATAAGTAGTACTATACAAGGAGGAGGTATTGTGGTTAATAATAAGAGATAACTTTGGGGGGAGTAAGGGAAAGTAGTATATCCCTTCATAGAACTCCTACTTTTAAGAACCCTTTTCTGAGCTCAGAAAAGGACTGTCCCAAACAAGGGGGGTGGGACACACAATGTATGTTCTGGGATTCTAAGGCTACTGGTTTTTTTGATTCTGTACTTTCTCCTTGTGCTGTACTACAGATTCATGAACCATATGAAGCACCATGTAGAACTCGATCAGCAGAACGGTGAGGTAGATGGTCATACTATCTGCCAACACTGTTATCGCCAGTTTTCCACACCCTTCCAGCTCCAGTGCCACTTGGAAAATGTTCATAGTCCTTATGAATCGACGAGTAAGTTTGGAAACTTAAACTCTAGGGGTTTACTTTGCTTTTCGTTCATTGAATGGCATGGGGAGGAGCCCATCCATCATTTATATATGGGTATCAGTATAGAGGAAGCTCTTTGTACATTTTTTTTTAAAGATCTTATTTATTTATTCATGAGAGAGACAGAGAGGCAGAGACACAGGCAGAGGGAGAAGCAGGCTCCCCATGGGGAGCCCGATGCAGGACTCGATCCCAGGACCTGGGATCACGACCTGAACCAAAGGCAAACGCTCAACCAGTGAGCCACCCAGGCGCCCCTCTTTGCACATTTCTGGTCAATTCTTTAGTTCACTCACCCTTTATTCTTATAAGTTAGACTTCTCTTCAAGCCTGAATTGAATTCAGGGCTAGAATTGTTAGGGACTTTGGTTTAGGACCACTGTAACGTGTTGTAATGTATATAGTGTAATATAATATGTAATATGGATTCCTTAACCAAGATCCATCTATATTTGGACCTCTGCTTTAGTTAGTACCCTGATAGGTTTTACATAGGACAAAAGATGACAATATAAACATCATAAAGTACTTTACCATTAAGATAGTGCTTTCAGGGATGCCTGGGTGGCTCAGTGGTTGAGTGTCTGCCTTCGGCCCAGGGTATGATCCTGGAGTCCTGGGATCGAGTCCCACATCAGGCTCCCTGCATGGAGCCTGCTATTCTCTCTGTGTCTCTCATGAATAAATAAATAAAATCTTAAAAAAAAAAAAGTGCTTTCACTGAACTGTAAACTGATATATGGAGTGTTGCCTTGACTGTACATCTAACAGCTGAGGAAATGTAGGCTGAACACAGGCTCACAAAAATTAAATCATTTACTTCAGAGCATATAACGGTAGTAAGGTGCCATTGCGAGGATTTAAGCCTGGTCTTCCTAGAATATCTCTTGTGTTCTTCAGGGGATTTCTGGTGGTGTTTTAGAGACAAAAATTACATAAGTATAAGCCTATGCATTGTATAATACCAATGATAGGTGAAATAGTTTAAAGAAAAGATCTTTGAGGCTAGGTTTCCCCAAAAGTCGTAAACTTTTAGAGTCTTTAAATACAAGAAGGATTTAGACAGATGAAAGTAATAAGAAAAGCATTTTAGGTGATGGGAAGCTGCATTTTAAAAAGTTTGACTAAAAGTGAATTAAACAGTAAGGATATCCATTATATCATTTAAATGAGACTACTTGAGGTGGAGTAAACTTCAACCCCAAAACTTGAGTGTTCTGCTACAATTCTCTTGTCTCTGGCTTGTAGTGAGGTGGCTGTGTTAATCTTGGGCCTTACATTCAGGCATTAAATAGTGCAGACAAGGAATAGACCTCATCTTCCCATGTCTTTTCCTGAATTTGTTTCAGGAAAGCAGAATTGCTTTCCCTTTATATTTCCTTGGCCTTGGTCATATTGGCAAGGACAATGGAATTGCCATTTGTGGCTTAGGCTAATGTTGGTCAATAGAAATATAATGTAAGCTACATATGCAATTTTTATTTTTTAGTAGCCATTTTTAAAAAGTTAAATTAATTTTTTAACTTTTTTTTTACAACCTCCTTTTTTTTCTTTAACTTTATTTAATTTGGGGTTTGGGGGGTTATTTTGTTTTTAAGTAAGCTCTATACCCAGTGTGGGGCTTGAACTCAAAATTCTGCAATCAAGAGTCGCATGCTTTACCGACTGAGCCAGCCAGGCACCTGTGAAATTAATTTTAATAGTGTATTTAATTTAACTCAGTAAACCCAAAATATCATTTCAGCACGTAATCAAGATTTATTTATTTATTGATTTAAAAATTGATGAGATGGTACAACTTTGGACTACTAATTTGGCAATAGAAGAGAACAGATACTGGAATCAACCACTATGCAGTTAATGGCAGAGTACCCAACTTGGTCTTTGTTAGGGCCCCAAAGTCTTCACTGTCAGTGATGAAAATCTACACCTCCCAGTGAATACATCTCATTTTTTATGCAGAATCTGGTGCGTAGGCTTTTGTTAATTCCATTTAAATACGGACTGTACATAGAAAAGATAAGTTTTTCCGTATGGGGGAAAAAAACCTAATCAGAACCTAATCAATCTTTTTCTCTTCACTTAACCACTCTGTTATGTCTGACTTTTAATTTTTGAGTATCATGACTTTTAAAATTTATATTGATCAAAAACCTGAGAAAATACTAACTCAAAGGTAAATAACTTTTCTATACTTTAGTATGTATCAGTTTTATTCTTAGATTTTTGTGTAAGTCCTCTTTCCTGCACCCGTGGCAGATCCTTCATGAAAGTAGCTTGTTTTTTAATGTTAATATTTTGTTTTGTTTTTTTAATTATTTTTTTATTTTTTTATTTTATTTATTTATGATAGTCACAGAGAGAGAGAGAGAGAGGCAGAGACACAGGCGGAGGGAGAAGCAGGCTCCATGCACCGGGAGCCCGACGTGGGATTCGATCCCGGGTCTCCAGGATCGCGCCCTGGGCCAAAGGCAGGCGCCAAACCACTGCGCCACCCAGGGATCCCCTAATGTTAATATTTTGGACCCATTACTTTCCTTTTAATTTTGAAAGGAAAAAAAGTTTCCTTTTATTTTCTGAAGTGTTTTAAAATTAGACATAATGACATTTTACCCTCAAATGATTATGTATCTCTTAGAAATCAAGACCTTTATCTGTATACATCCATAGTATCTTTGTCAAGACCTAATAGCAGCAATCATAAATCCTTAATATCATCCAATACCTAGTCCATTTTCAAATTTCCTGAAACATCAATGGATCATTACACTTGATTACAGTAATAGTGTACTCTTAATAGCATTATGTTTTTCTTCACACTTGTTTAAGGGCAGTAGGCTGAAGAAGGGGTAGATTTGAGGGAAGGATTCTTACCCATGGTCAGATGTCAGGGGAGGATCCTGTGTGGAAAATGACTCATCAAAGGGGCGAACTAATTGCTTGGTAAAGTCTTGGAATATATGGAGTGATGAGGTTGGCTGAGCCTTAGAAAGGTGTATATTTTCTTCCTTTCTTCTTTTCTTTCTTTTCTTTTCTTTTTCTTTCTTTCTTTCTCTCTTTCTTTTCTTTCTTTCAATTTCTTTCAGATTTATTTTAGAGAGGGTGCATGCACGAGCAGGGGGACGGGCAGAGGGAGATGAGACAAGTGGACTCCCCACTGAACGGGACACCTGACTCAGCTCAATTCTAGGAGCTGAGATGAAATCAGGAGTTGGACGCTTAACTGACTGAGCCAGTCATGTGCCCCTATCCTTTCTTTCATAATTTGGAGAACAGAAAGCAGAAGTGGTAGTAGTTCACTCCTATTCTCAAAGTAAGACTCTGTTAGGTGTTAAAGACATGAGGGTAATCGTGCTAGGAAGGACCATGTTATGGTGCCTTGCAAAATCGGTTAATCCCGTCTCTTGAATTTTTTTCCACACCAGCTCCAGTGTGGAATTAGAATAGATGGGGATAGTTACTAGATACGTTTTAAATCCACTGATGGCTTAGGTTTCTATTTCACTGCTTTTCTTGGTATGAGATAATATATATAAATCTTAGCATGGTGTTTATGTGTTAGAAGTTGCTTTAATAAGTGTTGTCGGGGGATCCCTGGGTGGCGCAGTGGTTTAGCGCCTGCCTTTGGCCCAGGGCGCGATCCTGGAGACCCGGGATCAGATCCCACGTCGGGCTCCCGGTGCATGGAGCCTGCTTCTCCCTCTGCCTGTGTCTCTGCCTCTCTCTCTCTCTCTCTCTGTGACTATCATAAAAAAAAAAAAAAGTGTTGTCATTATTGATGTTGTATGATGGCTGTACCAAGAGAGCTGATATATAGGTTGTAGGAAGAGCTTCAGGGTTGAATGAGATTGACCAGGAAGAACTCAAAATAAGAAAGGTTAGGACAGAAGGTTGGAAAGCACCTATTTTAAAAGGTGTTCTAGAAAAAGAAGAAAACAATAAATGACAAATTGAATTAAGGGTAAAGGGGCAGAAGAAGAAAATATTGTCATTTAGTTGACACTATTTCCCAAACATGTCATGTACTTCCACACCTCTGTGCCTTTGTTACTGTTCTCTTGGTCCCTCTGTCTGAGAAACTTTTCAACATTTAGCTTATATATCTTATAGCTTCTGTTCATTCTTTGAGACAAAATTTTTTATTTACTTGTATCTTCGTAGCATCTAATGAATCTCTGGCCAGTGCTTCTAAATGGGTTCCCATACCCCTTTGAGATAAACACAGAACTTGTGAAACTTCTTCCCAGAAAATAAAGATTTTATTCTTTTGCAAATAATTTCAGGGGATACTGAGGTTCCCTGAGGCATCGAACATGGACCCCAGATCAAGAATCCCTGGTTTTTGTTTAACACTTTAAAGGATTATTTCAACTTTACTCTTGTGGGGAAACGGGTTGGACATGGTCCAGTAAATGCTCAAAGCTTCAAATTTACAATTTCCATACTTGTAAAAACTTGAAAATAATCCCAGTGACAGAAAAACAATTACTGTGCCTGTTTATTTATTTATTTTTTACTGTGCCTGTTTAATTCAAAATATGATATGTAGCAATTCAAATTTTTATTACTCAGAATTACAGCTTTTATAAGCTTGACAAAATGACCAGTTTCAAAGTTTAATTACCTCAACAACTCATAATAAGGCAAGAACTTCTGTCACCATTGTCAGTCCTTTGAGGACAAATTCTTGTACTCATTTAGTAGATGTTTGTGGAATTATTCATAGAAGATCATTATTTATCCTTGAGCAGAGGAATGAAGTAGTGTAGTAATTTAAAATAATTCACTTGGCAATGGTATTTAAAGCATAGACACTGTTTATTTATTGTAGAGACATGAGGTATTATTGGAAGCCAGCTGATTAGTAGTAGGAAATCATGTGGGCTTTTACTAAGTTTTTGTCTGTGAGAATGGCAAAATGACCATTGCTAGATACATTATGAAATAATAGTGACAGAACACGGGGTGTAGACTCGGAGATAGTGCCTGAGTGCAGGGGGGGGGGTGGGGAAGTGAGAAGGGAAACAATGGAATCAGGAGGAGGCTGAATTAAGTTAGAGTTGGTGGTAGAATATCCAATTAAAATGTCTTGTAGACGGTTCAAAACCTGAAATGGAGCTTTAGTAAGAAGGCTGAGCTCAAGGCATAAGGTTTGCTGTTAGCAGCAATACAGATGTTAAGACAGATCCATTTTATTTTATTTATTTATATATATTTTTTAAGATTTTATTTATTCATGAGGCACAGAGAAGCAGGGAGAAGCAGTCTCCCTGCAGGGAGCCCGATGTGGGACTCAATCCCAGGACCCCGGGACCACGCCCTAAGCCAAAGGCAGACGCTCAACCACTGAGCCACCCAGGTGCCCCAAGACAGATCCATTTTAAAGAAAGAAGAGACTTAATGATGTACTGACTATTGAAAGTAAAAATAGAGAAGTCAGGGAAAATCAAGATTGAGTCAGCAGGACTTTGGTCTTATTTTCAGTTGGATTTATTGATTATTTTTCTTCTTACAGCCAAGTGCAAGATCTGTGAGTGGGCGTTTGAGAGTGAGCCACTATTTCTCCAGCATATGAAGGATACTCATAAGCCTGGAGAGATGCCTTATGTCTGCCAGGTATTGCCTTTTTCTCTAGGGAGCTTCAGCCATTTTGCTCTTAGGCTGAATACAGAAAATCCACTAATGCACATTGCTGAATACCTACTGTATACACTCACTCAGTTTTAGGAATACTGCAGAGATCCAGAAGAAATAATAGACATAGGGTCCATTCTCAGGATTTTCTGTGCCAGAGAAAACCATTAAAGGAACATGTGCATGTACCCAGCCAGGGAACCTAGTCAGAGAACATACACATGTACTACAGGAGTGTGTCTCCTGAACTGCCCTCTAGAGATGGACAAAGAAAGCTTTGCTCCTCTTAGTCACAAAGTGGATTGTTCTCAGACTTTCTTGACCTTCCGCCATTTTAATCTTAACCCACAGCTGAATGTATCACAAACAGCCCTTCATTACAGAGTCAGAATAATAATTTGATTTCTATACATTTAGGAAAACTTATTTTTTTCCTCTTATTTTGACATTTTCTGTTACTACCTCTTTTTTTAAGGCCTTAGTTGTTCACTCTTAGCTTATTTTCCCTCTTATGTGACTCAGGTGTGTCAGTATCGCTCCTCACTCTACTCTGAGGTAGATGTCCATTTTCGGATGATCCATGAGGATACTCGGCATCTGCTCTGCCCTTATTGCCTGAAGGTCTTCAAAAATGGCAATGCATTCCAGCAGCATTACATGAGGCACCAGGTACCAGGCACCAAGCAATTCCCATATTCTCATTTTTTTAATTTAGTGGATGCTGGGGCCAGGGCTGAGCTAGTCAGATAATTTTGGTAGGAAGATACAATAAGTGTATTTGCAAAAATTTCCCAAATTTCAGTTACGTGCCGTGCACTAAGCTAGGTGCCAGGAATTTAGTGTTACACAAGACAAATGGTAAAGTAGAACGTGGAGAGTATTGTGTTAGGGGAAGTATAAGATATAGAAAAGCATGTACCTATTTTGGGAGCCACCTGAAGTATGAGGAAGTGAAGTGGAGTGGAAGAACAGTGTCCTCCAAGCACAGAATGAAAGTATGGAGGTTCAAAGAATTAAAGGAAGTTCAGTATGTTTGGAGTGTGGGGTATAGGAGGAGGTTGGAAGTTAGGAAATAGGTGGTGGAGAATCCTGCAAGGCATGAAAAGGGAGGTCATTCGGGAGGCATTAAAGGGAATTTTTTTAAGTTCTTGAGTGATAGGTTCAAATTTGTTTAAGTTATGAGTACTCTGGCTGCACTAGGAGAATGAATTGAAAGGAGAGATTAAGACCAGAGTTAGGGGGACACGCCAAAGGCTCTTTTGGTTTAGGTGAGGGACAGTAGTAGCTATTGGCTTTGAAATGAAGAAGATAGAGTTGAGAGAGATTGAGAAAGTAAGTGATATTTATGATTGTAAAGGATTCAGTGAAGGTAGTGAGGTAGGAATTAGGAATAGTGCTTAAAATTCTGTTCTGGGAAAAAATGAATGGTATGACTATGTACTGATAGAAACATTGTAGAAACTAAGGTTGACAGCGGAAGTAGGGATTATGCGTTTGGATATTCTGAGTTAGCAATGTCTGTGGACAGCAGCTGTAGTTGTCTACTGAACAAATAGTTGGATATATAGGTCTGAAACCTAGGAGAAAAGCCTGGGTTGTGGAATACATACTTAGGAATCATTATTATATGAATCAGGTGATTTTAAACATAGAAGTTGCCATGTTCCCTCACCCCCAATTGAGAATAAGATGAACCTCTGAAGACTCTCTCTACAAAGCCATAGTAGTCCTAGGAGGAAAAGCAGAAGAGACTTGATGTCAAGGAAGCTGAGGGGAGGAAAGTTTTGAAGAAAAGGGTGTGATCAGAATGTTGCAGGAAGATGTCAGCAACATAGAAACTTAGAGGCCAGCCTTTAGCAACATTGATGGGAACCATGTGGTTGGTTAGCAGAGTGAGTGTCAGATTTCAGCAGGATGAATGAAGAGGTGAGAAAATGGGGACAACTTATTTTTAAAAGTTTCAGAAGGGGAAGACTGAGGATAGCAGATCCAGAGGAAGAGGTATCAGAGAATTTGTTGTTGCTTTTGTGTTTTGTTTTTAAAGTGGAATAAATAGAGTCTTGTTTTAAATTCCTTCAAGAAAGGAGCCACTAGAGGAGGAGAGTGAAGGTACTTAGGGAAGGCACAAAATGGAGAACCGGCTGGGTACACCTGTGTTTGACACTTGCCCATGTCTGCACTCTCATATGTGAGCTCCCTCTTTGGGCTCACACACTCATTTGCACAGAGGTGACTGCCTATAATCCCCCACATGTGTATTTCCAAAGAGCAGCATGGAAATTGTCCCTTGTACTCAGGTAATGGGGCCTTGATATCCTGGGAAGAAAACCATAGGCCTGGTTCCTGTTTCTGAAGGACTTCAGTAGTAGGCAGTCGGAATCTTCAGATGTGTCTCACAAGGACAAGTGCATATCTACATATATATTGATGTGTTAAATGGAAAGATAGCAAGGGATAGAAAAATACCGTCATTCGTGTTGAGAAAAAAAAGAAAGGGCAAACAAGGAGGTGGTGATTTGAGATGTGTGTGTGTGTGTGTGTGTGTGTGTGTGTTTTATGGTTATGCGCATAGATTGTCCATGAAAAAATACCCAAGAAACTGGTAACAAGTTGTTTCTGTGCAAAGGGATGGAGGGTTGGAATTGAAGGCAAACTTAAAACATGAAGGAGTATGGAATAAAAAGTATGATTTTTAAAAAATCACATAATACATTTTACTGTGTTCAAAAAAAAAAAAAAAGAGAAAAGAATGTCCAGAAGTAGGTAGCACTGTCTGCATTATAAAGACAAAGTAGGGCTAAATAAAGTTGAAGCCACTAATCCACATTGTTAAACCAAGTCAGGAAGAGATGGTTGGAGGACCTAGTTATTCTGGCTGAGTCTGTCTTTCTTTGGGACCATGGGAGGTGATGATTCTCAATGGTAGGTTTTGGTGTCGTGTTGTGTATTTTTTTCTTCCTTGTTCAGTTATCCATAGAAAGGTGCGGAAGAGTGATTGTTAGCATTAATCTACCATCTCATCAGGGACAAAAATATATTGGGAACCTTTAAGGGATTCTCTTTCTTTTTCCCTCCTCAGAAGAGGAATGTTTATCACTGCAACAAATGCCGGCTGCAGTTTCTCTTTGCCAAGGACAAAATTGAACACAAGCTTCAGCACCACAAAACCTTCCGTAAACCCAAGCAGCTGGAAGGTTTGAAACCAGGCACCAAGGTGAAGGGCTTGACAACATTTCTTTCATAAATCCATGAGGGGAGGAATATCAGTACTCTGAGATTTACAGTGGGTAGTGTCTAAATTGTTCCTTCCCTTGGCTCGCAGGTGACAATCCGGGCTTCCCGAGGGCAGCCACGAACTGTTCCTGTTTCCTCCAATGATGCATCTCCCAGCACCTTACAGGAGGCAGCACCACTGACCTCCTCAACAGACCCCCTGCCTGTCTTCCTTTATCCCCCTGTCCGGCGCAACGTTCAGAAGAGAGCTGTTAGGAAAATGTCAGTGCCACCTTTTGGAGGTTGGGGGCTGGGTGGACACAACTGTTCCTATAGCCAGTGTAATCTAGTAGCCTTTAGCAGGATCTGTTGTCTGAAGCCCCCACAATTTGAACACTCCCGGGGCAATAACAAGAATTTTTTGTTGTTTCTTGATAGGAGTGTTATGGGCCGGCAGACGTGCCTGGAGTGCAGCTTTGAAATCCCAGATTTCCCTAATCATTTCCCTACCTATGTTCACTGCTCTCTGTGTCGCTATAGCACCTGCTGCTCTCGAGCCTATGCCAACCACATGATCAAGTAAGTCATGGTTAAACCACGGATCCTGTCTGAGAGTACAGATTCTCCAGAACTCATTTCATTCCCTCCTTCAACTCTTAAGAGCTGTTTGTCCATCTCTTCTAGCCGGGTAAGAGTCAAACCCGTGTTCATTTGGCTCTGATGGCCTGTGTTCTAATTTTGTAGGACCTTGCTACTTAGAGTGTGGCCTAAAGACCAGCTTAGAACTTCAGCCTCTGCTCTCCACCCCCAGGCTACTCAGGCTGAATGTGTCTTAATGGCTCTCCTGGTAATTCATATGCATACTAAAAGGGAATATTAATATGATAGGAAAAGTGATTTGAGTTGAGGTGAGGATGGATTGAAGAGCCATCTCTTTTGTTGGAATATAGTCAAAGACTGGTGATCTCATTTAATGATCAGAACCTCTTGACTCATGCTACTTTTTCTTTGTCTTTCTCAGCAATCATGTTCCACGCAAGAGCCCTAAGTATTTGGCTTTGTTTAAAAATTCTGTGAGGTAAGGAAAAATTTACTGATGGTCTCTTGATTTTTTTTTATGTTCTTATATTAAATCCTTTTAATTAACTTTCAGGGGATATGTGAATTAATTTGAGAGAGAGGAGAAAGGACAGTCTTTTTTTCTTAAGTTGTTAAGCCTCAGATCTTATCCCTCTTGTGACTGTTGTATTTGTTTTATATACTCTTGGATTCTTTTTCTTAGTGGAATCAAGCTGGCTTGCACTTCATGTACCTTTGTTACCTCTGTGGGAGATGCCATGGCCAAGCATCTGGTATTCAACCCCTCTCACAGATCCAGCAGTATCCTACCACGAGGTAAGTAGTGAGATGGGAGTTAGTGGGACAAGAGAAAAAAATAAGGATACAAGTCTTACCATAGGAGTCAGGAGCATCTCTGCCTGCGCTAGTACCTTCACTGTTAAGATAGACATCACTACATTGGAAGGGATTAACCATTCCAACCTGACATTTATATAGGACTGGGGGGCTTGTTTCTTCTCTGAGTTAACATTTCTTTATTGTCTCATTTCCCATAGGATTCACTTGGATGTCTCACTCAAGGTAACAAACTTACTTCATGGTTTAATTTCTATTTTCAATGTGTTTCATCTTTTTTATTACTATCACTGCTACTATTAGTATTTCATTTCCCTAGTTTAACTGAGCTTTCTTTTCCTCTTTGCTAAATCCTTTAGACATGGCCATACTCGTGACCGAGTACATGACCGGAGCTTGAAGAATATATATCCTCCTCCTGCCTTCTCCTCTAATAAAACTGCCACTGTGAAATCTGGGGGGGCCACCTCAGCTGAGCCTGAAGAGCTTCCGACTCCTATGACCCAAGCACTCCCGTCACCAGCGTCAACCGCAACCCCGCCACCAACCCCAACCCACTCCCAGCCTTTAGCCCTTCTGCCCTTGGCTGCAGAGGGGGCTGAATGTCTGAATGTTGATGACCAGGATGAAGGGAGCCCAGTCATCCAGGAGTCTGAGCAGGCAACAGGGGGCGGTAATGGCAGTGGGGTTGGCAAGAAGGAGCAGCTGTCTGTGAAGAAGCTTCGAGTGGTACTGTTTGCCTTGTGCTGCAATACAGAACAGGCCGCCGAACACTTCCGAAATCCCCAACGACGGATCCGGCGTTGGCTTCGGCGCTTCCAGGCCTCCCAGGGGGAGAATCTGGAGGGCAAATATCTGAGCTTAGAAGCAGAAGAGAAGCTGGCTGAGTGGGTGCTAACTCAGCGAGAGCAGCAGCTACCTGTGAATGAGGAGACCTTGTTCCAGAAGGCCACCAAAATAGGACGTTCTTTGGAGGGGGGGTTTAAAATCTCCTATGAGTGGGCTGTGCGTTTCATGCTCCGGCACCACCTGACTCCCCATGCCCGGCGAGCTGTGGCCCATACCTTACCGAAGGATGTGGCAGAGAATGCAGGACTCTTCATTGAATTCGTACAACGACAGATTCACAACCAGGACTTACCCTTGTCCATGATTGTGGCCATTGATGAGATCTCCTTGTTCCTAGATACAGAGGTGCTGAGCAGTGATGACCGGAAGGAGAATGCCCTGCAGACAGTGGGCACAGGGGAACCTTGGTGTGATGTGGTGCTGGCCATTCTGGCAGACGGCGCTGTCCTCCCCACCCTGGTTTTCTACCGAGGACAAATGGATCAACCTGCTAATGTGCCAGACTCGATATTGCTAGAGGCAAAGGAGAGTGGCTACAGTGATGATGAGATCATGGAGCTGTGGTCAGCTCGGGTGTGGCAGAAGCACACTGCTTGCCAGCGTAGCAAAGGCATGCTTGTGATGGACTGTCACCGCACTCACTTGTCGGAAGAGGTGCTGGCTATGCTTAGTGCCTCTAGCACCTTGCCCGCGGTGGTCCCAGCAGGCTGTAGCTCCAAAATCCAGCCGTTAGATGTATGCATCAAACGAACTGTCAAGAACTTCCTACACAAAAAGTGGAAGGAGCAGGCCCGGGAAATGGCAGATACTGCATGCGATTCCGATGTCCTGCTTCAACTGGTGCTGGTCTGGCTGGCTGAGGTGCTGGGTGTCATTGGGGACTGTCCAGAGCTGGTACAGCGGTCCTTCCTCGTGGCTAGCGTTCTGCCTGGCCCTGATGGCAACATTAACTCGCCTACAAGAAATGCTGACATGCAGGAGGAGCTCATTGCGTCCCTAGAGGAGCAACTGAAGCTGAGTGGGGAACAGTCTGAGGAACCCTCAGCTTCCACTCCCCGACCCAGGTCATCTCCTGAAGAGACAATTGAGCCTGAAAGCCTTCATCAGCTCTTTGAGGGCGAAAGCGAGACCGAGTCTTTTTATGGCTTTGAAGAAGCCGACCTAGATCTGATGGAAATTTGAGTGTTGGGGTCATGAGCGGGTGCAGAGTGGGGGTGGGAAAGTGTGAAGGGGGGGTAGAGGAATTTAGGGAAAAGGGGTTATGCCAGGTGGGGTATTTCGTTTTTATTTTTTAATTTTATGCCACCACTCCCCACCCCACCCCCCATGTTGACTTCTGTTTCCCTGTGGATTTGTGGATTATTAGGAATACCAGTAGTGATCCCATCTGAGCCAAGGAGCTGGCCCATTGGTCGTTCACTTCTGCTAAAAACAGGTTTTGGTGACTTTTTTTTTTTTTTTAATTTAAATCACTGTTTGGTATTTTTCTGACAAAATCAAGAAAAAGAAAAAAAAAATTCTTTGTGGGCGAATGTTAATTTTTTTGTTTCCCCTTTTACCTCAATTGTATCATAGTACATCTGGGTTTTTCTCTTTGTTTTACTGTGTGGCAGTGTCTTTGGGCATGTTATTCAACCATTGTCAATGTGAGAACATTTCTGAAGATGGGAAAGACAAAAAAATATGTAGCTCACAAACTGGTTTATTATATATATGGATAAAACTTTTTTCATTGTGGTCTTAACACTTTTATATAAAAATGAAAATGGAAAAAATCCCACTGAACTCTCTCTTCCTTCTCCTTTCTTTCCTTCCCTCTCCAGAGATGTTGGTTTCTACAGCAACTCTTAGAGATACAAAATTGTGGCTTTAAAAAAATGCATGAAACCACGTCTCATCCAGAATGATGAATTAGATTTGTTTTTCCTCACCACCCTCTCTCCAACAAAAACATGACAAAATGAGTATTGTTTGCACTTGGGATCTTTGGCCCCTTTTCCCATGCTCACACCATTACTCTGGACAAAGGATCATACATGTGTCATTAGCAAGCAAGAGGTACTGAGGTGATCACACAGTGTTAGGGTGGAAGCCAGTGTATGGGTCTTCATCATGTTAAGTGGACAGCATGCCTGTTCAAGAGATCACATGTCCTACATCCAGGAGCTAATTGTGCAAGAAGTTAAGTGTTGAACTTTAAAAATAAGACAGACCACTTGTTGAAATCCTGCTTACTCTGTGGCTTTCCTTATTCCTCTTAATGCTTAGAGAAGAATGTGACCTGAAGAAGAAACACACAGGGGTGTGCACAAAGAAAGACATGAATCTTTATTTTTCACTGCCAGCTTCAAGGAAAGAAAATGTTTCTACAATTTGCATGAGGGATTTTTTTTAACTGTATGTACTCACAGTTATAAACTGAAATGTACTGTATCATACAGAGAAAAGGAACAAAAACCCAAGGCCAGCTTTCCCACAGCTACACCTTCCATCCCAAGGCTTTCAGCAACATGTCCCTCCTGGGAGCCAAGGAGGCAGCCTGCACAGGCTTGTAAATGGTTCATCTTTAAAATGTATATAAGTGGGACATTTAATAAAATGAGGGGAAATGGATTTATAAACAATGTGGTTTTTTTTTTTCTAGGTAATCCTATTTTAGTAGGCTTTCACAGACTGGGACATGCTCAAGATGTGATGGGCCTGGTGGTACGGGTGTGACACTTGTTACGCCTGTTTCTCCTCACCTCCATTTTTTGTTTTTTTAACTCCCAGCACACTATAATATAGTGAACTGGAGTGATCCTGCCCATAAACAGCTTGGCCAGCTTCGTGAACCCATGGCATCTGAAAAGTGAACTGAGGATCTATCTTCTCTTGGGCTTCTCTTCCCCAGCTTTTTGCCTGATGCCATTTTGACATTAAAATGGACTTCGAAGTCAACCCTTTGCCTTTGAGAAAGTTCAAGAACTATGGTCAACTATCTACAATGACCTAACCTTCTCTTTGGTAGTCTCCACAGCAGCCCCAGCCTCAGCAGAGCTGGGTTCCTGGCCTCTGCATACTGTGACTTTCTTGATGGGTAGTTTTTTTAAGACTATATAACACCAACAGTGGATCAGCTGGGTTTTGGCCAGGAAGTTACATTTGTGGATTCTGCCTGCATGGCTTAGTAGTAGAAGGAAGTTTTTTTTGTTTTGTTTTTTTTATAATTCAGTTTAATCAATAAAGTATTTATTGACTACTTTCTGTGTTGAGACTGAGTATGTGGAAGACAAATAGAAAACTAATAGTTTCCTTTGACTTACTAGTTTGTTATGACATGGGATGATAAAATGCAGGGATATTTCAGTCTCCCCCTCCACTCTCTCACCTCATTGAACTTCTGCAAGTTTGAGTTTGCTGCCTATGCTAGTTTCTCAAAGCAGTTTAGAGAGGATATGCATCAGAATCACCTAGGGTGTTCATTTATTTATTTAAAAGATTTATTCAGGAGACAGAGAGGCAGAGACCTAAGTAGAGGGTGAAGTAGACTCCCTGCAAGGAGCTCGATATGGGACCAGATCCCAGGACCCAGGGATCACGACCTGAGCCGGAGGCAGACGCTCAACCAGTGGGCCACCCAAGTGCCCTGGGTGTTCATTTTTTAAATTCAGGTTTAACACCATTTTGGGAGAATTTGGCTAACACTCCAAATGATTTGATTTATGGCTAAAAGGACTTTTAAATGAACACATAATACTTTTTTTTTTTTTGAACACATAATACTTTAAAGAGGTCTTCTGATAGTAGATTTGGACAATAAACATTTAAATTAAATGAAATTACTTCGTATTTCCTCTATTGAAGGTGAGGAGGTGACATGGGTGAGGGATTAAAGCTGTCAGGCCAGTCCTGCTTGGGAATAACTTTACCCAGAGCAGCTTTACTAGATGCTACATTTCTCTATCTTTGAAATGGTGTTTTAACTAAAATATTTGCAGCCAACATACCAGAAAATCCGTAAGAATCTAGCACATGGGTGGCAATGTTTAAGAAAAACGTTAAGTACTTTTGTTATCCCACAAAGATTAGGCCTGGCATCTATACAAAGCTGTTAGTATAGGCCCAAATGAAGATGGTAGTGGATCCTCCTGTACTGTCATGCAGAGAATCCTGTATTTGCTCTAGAATCAAGAGCCAAAGCAGGGTTATCTGACCAGGGAGGGAGATGGCACATGGCAGTACTTCACACCTGCACTCTTGGTATGACCTAGTCAGACAATAAAACCACTCAGCAAGCATTTCAAAGAATTTATTTTACAATAGAAAAGTAGACCTTTGAACCAGCCAAGTTCAAAGTTAGAAGAAGGGCACAACTTCAATTCTGGATAATGCATCTGAATTTCATTCAAAACCACTAAAAAGAAAGAGCATTTAAAAACTGTGAAGCAGAGGGGGAGGAATGAATTCCCAAAAGCAACTCTATCCTCCAACCAAAACCCTCTCCATCCAAAGAATCCTTTTAAGACCTCCAGAAAAATGCAGCTTAGTGCAAGCCAAGGGGCCTCCCAACTGTTCTACCACTTATTTTTCCTTCTGTAACTTTAATTTCAGTCACCTGATCATGTGAGCAATCTCCCAGTTGGTCTCTGCAGAGAGTGGTCCCTCTATTTCAACACCTTTTTCGGTGACTGTGGCAATTTGAAACTGAAAGAAAGCAGAACTCCCAATGAACATGCCCACCCCACATGAAGTCCCTGAGGCCTGCTCAAAGGTCAAGGAGAGGATCTTCCCCTAATCTGAAAATAGGAAATTCTGCAATCTGTTCTTCAAAAGCAAAGACCCAGGTACTGAAACTATGGAGAGCTCGCTAGTTAAGAGTCCTATCCTCTATTATTCATGTCCTTCCTCACCCGGTTATAGGAGCGGGCATCTCGATAATAAAGCACTCGCATGCAGCGTTCCACTAGCTCTCGGGCTTCAGTCTGGCTCAGGACTGGCTGCTTCTCCAGAACTTCTCGCAGCAGAGGCTAGGGAAATGGGAAGAACATGGGAGATTACCAGGGGTTGAATACCCATCTGTCCCAAATTCACAAAGTAAAAAGCAGCATAAAATGACATTCTGCCTTCTGCCTCACCAGAATGAATTCTGCTTACTTGTGCTAACACCAACCTGAAGGGTAAACTGTAGGGCATTTCTCTCTGCACATGTCTACTGAATCTGACACACCACGTTATCAACAGAATGTAAGTGCCAACACATACAGCTTTCAGACTACAAAGAAAACTATCTGCCAGCAGGAGGGATCTTAGTCTATCCTCACGTTGGAATTTTAAGAGAAGAACCAAGGAGATGAGCCCCCACTGCCTCCCCCATACCTCTCCCGCACGTACCTGAGCCAAGTATGCACCATAACCAGTGGCCAGCGAAGGGGCTTCATAAGCTACACCAAGCATGTCCACATAACCGAGGAAGCTAACAGGACACAACAGGTCAAAGAACTAATTTTCATCTTAGGTTTTCTTGGGTATCTTAGCTGAAGGATGGGGCCATGGGGTCTGAGAAGTGACATTCTCTTAGGGAGAAGAGACAAGACACTACATAGACACTAGAGGTTAGATAGTCGGGGAAATTAAGTTATTTCAAGTCAACCTCTCTCCATCAGCGTAGCCTCCAATGACCATGGTGTTCCACAGGGGGTTCATCTTGGAGCGACGGCTGTACATGGCCCTGGTCAGCCATGAATGAATAGCTCTAGGGCTATAGCTGTGTCCATCTCCCAACAGCTCCTCATCAATCCTTAAAAGGAATAAGTCATGAGAAAAAAGGAGAGAATGGAAGTCGGGAATTCCATCCACCCTCACCCCAAAGAAGTTACCACAATCTTCCTCATTTTACACTGCCTAACGCCAAAAACTATGTGCTGCAAACACTATCATCTTCCACCCTCAGCAATTCTCCTGTCCTCGGCTACAGCCTCAAATTCCCCCACCCCAGAACTTCTAAGGGGATATTAAAAAACAATACAGTGAATTCCTCTCCCCACTTGGGATCTACTCCCTAATCTCCAGATAACTTACACCATCTGGCCGAGAACTTGCTTCAAATACTGGAAATCTGCATAGTCTCCGGAAGCACCCAGCATGGTGCTGTCGTTGACTCGCATAATGCGAGAGATGTTGCGGAAACGAGCCAAGGAGCCATAGGAGCCCAGCATGTCTGCTGCAATCACCACTCCACCCTCGAATTTGACACCCAAGACCGAGGTCCCGGTCACCATGGGGTTCCTAGACAGAGGGAGGGAGATGAGGGGAGGCACGGGAGAAGGGCCTGAGCCCTCTTCCGCGCAGTGGTTCCGCTTCTGATTTTCCATCTCCCCTTCCATTCTCCGGGACTCCGCGCCGTGGTCCCCGCCGTTCGCGGCCTTGGGGCGCCTTCCCCGGCTGTCTCCGAACCGTCCGGCTCGACCAGGCCTCAGCGTCCCGCCTCCTGCGCAGGCTCGGACGCCAAGAACTTACTGCGTGCGCGTAACCGGACCCCCGTAAGGAGAAAACGCCGGCTCCACGGAGGCAACAGAACTAGGCGGGATGTGGTAAAACTGCCCCGGGGCGGGACCACCGGCCCATACCCTGGACCGCGACTCCAGAAACGCTTCCATCTTAGTCACGGTGGCTGAAGAAATGACGGCGCTTGCGCCAACGGAAGCGGAAGTGAGCCTTGGGGTCCACAACTTCTTCCTGCCAGCTGTCCCCGGCAGCCATGTTGGTGAGGTTACGGCTGGCGGCACGATCCTCGTAGTCCGCCGCAGAGACCCAGACAGCTGGGATTGCCTGACGTCGCGGCATACTGCCTCATCGCATCAGAGCCTGAACTAGATCAGAGTGCTCTGAACGCACAAATTCAATGAAGGGGAGATTGGTTGGGAGGTAGGTATGGCGAGACCCTGAAGAGGCAGAAATTCTCGTGTTCTGCTTTGGATCTTGATCAACAGTCCCCCCCCCCCCCCAAGAAACTAGCAGTCAACTGTGATCTCTTACATCTGTACTCCTCAAAACAGCCTTGTAAAAGGCATTATCCGACCCATTTTATAAGTAAGTCTTGTGGCGTAGTGACTTGCCTGGCCACACAGCAAGTAAAGGTAGATCTGAGTCCTCAAGCGCAGAATAAGAAAAGGATTCATCCAGGTGTGCATACCCTGGGGTGTATGAAGTCGCAGGTGGAGCACTCACTCTATGGGATTGGACAGATGTCTGAAAGTTTCCGTACAGTCAAATGCTTTTGCCCCCCTCTTAAGCAGCGGAAAAACTCCATGGACCGTGGGCTTGAAACGAAATTCCAGGAGTTCCCTTCCCAGTGTGGTTCTGTATCAGGAGGTGGAAGCAGTGTCTACAATCTGACTGGTGAATCCGAAACCACTACTTTGCCACGTCTCCCCGCACAACTTGAATTTAAATTTTTTACTCAGAGGGAAACCAAATTTTGTTTTTAAAATTCCTTAAGTGGGGCTCAGTCTGTTGAGTCTGGGACTCTAGATTTTGGCTGATCTCACCATGCTGAGACCCAGTCCCGCTTGGGCTCTGAGCTCTCTTCTCAGGGGGAGTCTGCTGCTCTCCCTCCCTCTACCCTTCCCCCTGCTTATGATCTCTCTCTCTCTCTCTTTCAAATAAATAAATAAATCCTTAAAAATGAAATAAAATTCTGAGTTAATTTGAACCAAAGCAATGCATGAAAGTTTAATTATGTAAAAAAAATATTTTACTAGGTCATGAAACCCTGGAAAAAGGAAGGTTCAAGATCTTGTGTTAGAGGCACCCAACTGACACCCCTTGTATCACCTTTTTTTTTTTTTAAGATTTTATGTATTTATGATAGAGAGAGAGAGAGAGGCAGAGTCACAAGCAGAAGGTGAGGCAGGCTCCATGCTGGGAGCCCCACGCTGGACACTGGACTCGATCCGGGACTACAGGATCATGCCCTGGGCCAAAGGCAGGCACTAAACCGCTGAGCCACCCAGGGATCCCCCTGTATCACCTTTTGATCTTGACAAATATACTTTCCTCTCTAATAAATAGCCACCTCCTCTCCCCAAGCCCATTATTCCAGGTGACTCTTGGGCCACTCAGTTTTACTTGGACAAATAGCAGGCACTTAATGGGATGGTGGCTTACTGGGATTCCTTGAAAACTACATGAAATACCTTATTATTTGTAGCTGCCAGAGCCCTCATCATTTGATCAAATCAATTAATCAGCAATTAACTGACTATGTCCCTGTTTAGAAGTGACCACCTGGCTTGCTGGTTCTTGGTCTCACTCATTTGTAGGTCCCCGGAATAAGGATCTTGTAGGGCCTGTACCAGTTCCAGAAGTCAGGCAGGTCTAAATGAAGAAAAAATGAAAGGACCTAAAATCATCCAGCCTGTGAGAAGAATGGCTCTGAAACCAACAATTGATGATGCAATACTCAACAACAGATGGCCAGCATGTCTTCTGCTTTGAGGTATAAACAAGGCATAAATTAAACTGAAACAAGTGAAATTAGGAAATTTCCTTCTCTTTTTAAAGCAGTCTGGTATAATTTTGGGGGGAGGGAATCCTATTAAGAGAGGGAGGAAGAGGAGAAGAGAGAGGGAGAAAATTTTAAGCAAGTTCCATGCCCAGCATGGAGCCAAGACACGGGACTTGATCTCACACCCCTGAGATCATGACCCAAGGCTAAATCAAGAATCAGGTGTTCCCCTTTGGAAAATCTTTTTTATTTTATTTCTTTTTTTTTTTTAATTTTATTTATTTATTTATGATAGTCGCAGAGAGAGAGAGAGGCAGAGACACAGGCAGAGGAAGAAGCAGGCTCCATGCACCGGGAGCCCGACGTGGGACTCGATCCCGGGTCTCCAGGATCGCGCCCCGGGTCAAAGGCAGGCGCCAAACCGCTGCGCCACCCAGGGATCCCTATTTTATTTCTTTTTAAAAGATTTTATTTATTTATTCATGAGACACAGAGAGAGAGGCAGAGACACAAGCAGAGGGAGAAGCAGGATCCATGCAGGGAGCCTGCACTGGGACTCAATCCTGGGACTCCAGGATCACGCCCTGGGCGGAAGGTGGCGCTAAACCACTGGACCACCTGGGCTGCCCAGAAAATCTTTTTTTAAATGTGCCTAATTTTCTATGATTGGCTGTTACTTTGAATTTAATTAACATTGTGCTCCCACCAAAGTTAAAGTTGTTGTGTTTTTTTTAAAGATTTTACTTATTTATTCATGAGAGACACACACACAGAGAGGCAGAGACATAGGCTGAGGAAGAAGCAGGCTCCATGCAGGAAGCCCCATGTGGGACTTGATCTCAGGATTCCAGGATCATGCCCTGAGCCGAAGGCAGATGCTCAACCGATGAGCCACCCAGGCATCCCCAAAGTTAAAGTTTTTAGGTCAGCAATCCCCAGGATGGTTTTGAAACATGTCGGGATATCCTTGGGTATAGGGGATATCCTGAAATTCTCAGAAAAGAAATAAAACTAGACTAAATTGGAAAATAATAACCACCATCACCCCACCAACATTTTCATTACTCTACTTTTTAGGACAATGGAATTTGAACCTTCAAATCCAAGAGTTAAGGATCATTTCTTGACCTGTTCAGGGCCTGGCCCCAGGGAGTATAACAGAAAGAAGAGAAAGAAAGCATATCCAGCTTGTCTGTGGCTGCAGTACTCTGTGAGTCTTCCCTGAGGATTTTTGTGATTTTCCGTCTTCAATAGTTCATTTCTACAGTATCTCTCTTATAGCATGTGTTACATTTGTCCAAAGACTCTCTTCCACCAAACTAAAAGTCTCACAAAGGCAATAACTGAGATTGTCCTTCAACAAGTGTCCTCTGATGCACAGAAATTTTTAATTTTGATGTAGCCCTATTTATCAATTTCAACTTTTGTTGCCCATACTTTTGATGTCATATCCAGGAAATATTACCAAATACAATGTAATGGGCAGCCCCGGTGGCGCAGCGGTTTAGCGCCGCCCGCAGCCCAGGGCGTGATCCTGGAGACCTGGGATCGAGTCCCACATAGGGCTCTCTGCATGGTGCCTGCTTCTCCCTCTGCCTGTGTCTCTGCCTCTCTCTCTAGCTGTGTCCCTATGAATAAATAAATAAAATCTTAAAAAAAATACAATGTCATGAAGCTTTCTGCTGTTTTTTTTTTCTTTTTAAATATTTTTCTTAAAATATTTATTTATTTATTTTAGGAGATGGAGACAGAGACAGCAGGGAAAGGGGAACAAGGAGAGGGAGAGAATTTCAAGCAGACTCCCTGCTGAGCACGGAGCCTGACACAGGACTCCATCCCACAACCCTGAGATCATAACCTGAGCCGAAATCAAGAGTTGGATGCTTAAATGACTGAGCCACCCAAGTGCCCATAGTTTTAATTCATATTGAGATTTCTTATCTATTTTTTAAAGATTTTATTTTTATATTATTTTTATTTTATTTTTAAGATTTTATTTATTTATTCATGAGAGACATAGAGACAAAGAGAGGCAGAGACACAGACAGAGGGAGAAGCAGGCTCCATGCAGGGAGTCTGATGTGCAACTCGATCCCAGGACTCCAGGATCATGCCCTGGGCTGAAGGGAGGCACTCAACTGCTGAGCCACCCAGGTGTCCCTAAAGATTTTATTTTTAATAATCTCTACACCTAATGTGGGGCTCAAACTCACACCCCCCAAGATCAAGAGTCACATGCTCAATCAGCTGAGCCAGCCTGGCGCCCCAATAGATCTTTTATTCATTTTGAGTTAAATTTTGCATATGGTATAATGTAAGGGTCCCACTTCATTCTTTTGCATGTGGATATCCAGTTTTCCCAACGTCATTTGTTGGAAAGACTGTCTTTTCCTCAGTCATGGCCTTGATACTTCATGGAATTCACTGATCGTATGTGCGAGGGTTTATAAGTGGGTTCTCTGCTGTATCCCATTAGTCTATATGTCTGTCTTTATGACAATACCACACTGTTTTGTTTACTGTAGATTTATAGTAAGATTTGAAATCAGGAAGTATAAGACTCCCAACTTTATTCTTTCTAAAATGTTTTGATAAAAGTATATTTTTGAAATTTTTATTGTGTTGGTATTTTTTCCTTTCATATAGAAATCTAGGTTAATAGATTGATTTTTGTGGGCTTTTTGTAATTTTAAAGATGTTATTTCATGGGACCTCTGGGTGGTTCAGTGGTTAAGCATCTGCCACTGGCTCAGGGCATGATCCTGGAGTCCCAGGATCGAGTCCCACATTGGGCTCCCTGCACGGACCCTGCTTCTCCCTCTGCCTGTTTCTGCATCTCTCTCTCTCTTTTTCTGTCTCTCATGAATAAATAAATAAAATCTTAAAAAAAAAAAGATGTTATTTCATTGTCGCCTGACTTCTATTGTTTGTGTTAGGAAGTCACCTGTATGTCATACTGTTGTTTCTTTGAAGATAATGTATTTTTTTTTCCTTCTGGCTCATTTTAAGATGTTCAGAAGTGTCTTTGATTTCATCAGTTTTAGGAGGATATACCTAGGCATGGTTTTTTTCTAATTTTTTTAATATTTATTTATTTAGTTGAGAAAGAGAGAGCATGAGAGACAGTGAGCAGAAGCATCAGGAAAGGGAAGTGGGAAAGGGAGAATCAGACTTCCCACTGAGCTGGGAGCCCAGTGTGGGGCTCGATCCCAGGACCCTAAGATCATGACCTGAGCTGAAGGCAGATGCTCAGCAGATTGAGCCACTCAGGCACCCCTCAGGCATGACTTCTTTGTATCCTTCCTGAGTGTGCTGAGCTTGAATCTGTGGGTTGATATATTTCATTAGTTTTTGAAAATTTTAAGCCATTATCGCTTTGAATATTGCTTTTGCCCAACATTCTCTTTTCTCTCCTTAGATTCCAAATATGGTATATACTTAAGCATGTCCTCATGCTTCATAATTTTTGTTTTCCATTCTTTTTGATATTTGCACTTCAGCTTGGGTATTTTCTATTGATCTGTCTTCCAATTCTCTAATCCTATGTTCTACTGTGTCCTGTGTGCTGTTAAACTCTTACATTGAATTCTTCACTTCAGACTTTGTCTTTTTATTCAGTTCTAAAATGTCCTTCTATGGGCAGCCTGGGTGGGTCAGTGGTTTAGCACTGCCTTCAGCTCAGGGCGTGATCCTGGAGTCCCAGGATCAAGTCCCACATTGGGCTCTCTGCATGGAGCCTGCTTCTCCCTCTGCCTGTGTCTTTGCCTCTCTCTCTCTCATGAATAAATAAATAAAAATATTTTTAAAAAATAAAATGTCCTTCTGACTTTTTTATAGATGCCAATTCTCTACATTCTCCGTATTTTCATCTATATGTCCATCATTTTCACTTTTTTCTTAACATGTTAATCATACTTATTTTTACAAGATTCCTATGTGCTGACTCTAATATCTGGATCATCTGTGGGTTTTCTTCTGTTATCTTTTTCATTTCATTTTGTAATTTTCTTTTCTGTGTGCAAATAGAATATTTTTTATTGTCTCTCAGAAATTATGAATAATTCTAGAGGCTCCACAGCATGTTCTTTTCTACCAGAGAAAGTTCTCCCTTTTTCCCTTCAGGCAGTTAGAGTGAGGGGCTGATCACCTCAATCCAGTCAGGGATTAGGCTGTGTCAGGGTTGGGTTGCTGTTTCAGTCTGGTTTGCTTATATTATTTAGGCATGTTCTTCACAATCTTTGCATTGAAAACTGATCAGGTATGCATCTACTTAGCCCTGAAATACTGAAGAAGGTTGAGCTATTTCTCCAGGCTTCTGCTCCATGCAGCTCAGAATCTGGCAGATACCTTGAGGAGGAGACCAATTGAGGTTCTTGTCCTTCCTCTGCCTCAGCAGGTCTTTGTTTTCTAACCAATGATACTAGACTGGGAGGTTTAGTCTGCCTTTTTAGTAGCTTGTAGTCAGGCTCTCTAGCCTCCTGTACATTCCAAGAGTTCAGCAGATGTTCCATGAATAAACCTGCCACCTAAGTTTTCAGCTTGTCACTCCAGCTTTGAACGACCACCAAATACTGATGATTTATCTTCCACAAGTAGAGGCATTCTGCTTGGTTAAGCTTTAGCCTCAAATTTTACTTCACCTAGCCCTCATTCCTTCCATAGACCTTTGGTACTTTTTATTGCAGCTGCGTCCCCCTTTGCCTTTCTCTTATAAGGACACTTATAATTGCATTTAGGACCCACCCAGATAATCCATTACAATCTCTTCATTTAAAAATCTTTCATTTGGGACACCTGAGTGCTCAGCAGTTGAGCATCTGCCTTTGGTTCAGAGCATGGTCCTAGAGTCCTGGGATCAAGTCCCACATTGGGCTTCCTTCATGGAGCCTGCTTTTCCATCAGCCTGTGTCTCTGCTTTTCTCTGTGTGTGTGTCTCTCATGAATAAATAAATAAATAATCTTAAAAAAAAAGATCCTTCATTTAATGACATTTGCAAACACCCCTTTTCCAAATAAGGTAACACTTACAGGTTGCAGGGATTAGGGTGTACATCTATCTTTATTTTCTTTTCTTTAAATTCAATTAGCCAACATATAGTACATAATTAGCTTCAGATGTAGTGTTCAATAATTCACTGGTTGTTTATAACACCCAGTGTTGGGGAACCTGAGTGGCTCAGTGATTGAGTGTCTGCCTTTGGCTCAGATTGTCATCCAGGGTTCTGGGATCGAGTCCCACATCAGGCTCCCTGCAGGGAGCCTGCTTCTTCCTCTGCCTGTGTCTCTGCCTCTCTCTGTCTCACATACATACATACATGCATACATATATACATAAACTCTTTTTAAAAAATAACAGTATTTTTATTTATCAGTATTTATCATGTCATGTGCCCTCCTTAATGCCATCACCCAATTACCCTATCCCCCACCCACATCCCCACCAGAACCCTCAGTTTGTTTCTTAGATTTAAGAGTCTCATGGTTTTTCTCCTCTCTGATGACTCCTCATTCAGTTTCCCCTCCTTTCCCCTATGAACCTCTGTGCTGTTTCTTATATTCCACATATGAGTGAAGCCATATAATTGTCTTCTCTGGTTGACGTATTTCACTCAGCATAATACCCTCTAATTCTATTCACATCAATGTAAATGGTGGGTATTGATCTCTTCTGATAGCCGAGTAATATTCCATTGTATATACACCACATCTTCATGTGTTCATCTGTTGATGGACATCTGGGCTCTTTCCACAGTTTGGCTATTGTGGACATTGCTGCTATAAACATTGGGGTGCAAGTGCCCCTTCAGATCACTACATTTGTATCTTTGGGGTAAATACCCAGTAGTGCAGTTGCTGGGTCATAGGGTAGCTCTATTTTCAACTTTTTGAGGAACTCCATATTGTTTTTCAGACTTGCAGCACCAGTTTGCATTCCCACCAACGGTGTAAAAGGATTCCCCTTTCTCCAAACCCTCAGCTCCGTTTGCTGTTTCCTGTCTTGTGAATTTTAGCCATTCTGACTGGTGAGAGGTGTATCTCATTGTGTTTGTTTTTTTTCTCCACATTGTGGTTTTGATTTGTATTTCCCTGATGCTAGATGGTGTGGAGCATTTTTTGCATCTCTTGGCTATTTGTATATCTTCTTTGGAGAAATGTCTGTTCATGTGTTGGCCCATTTCTTGATTGAATTGTTTGTTTTTTGAGTATTGA